GGATTGAATTTTCCAAATAAAACGTCTGCAATTGCCATTCCTCCGGACTGACCTGGATACCCAGCCCACAAAATGGCTCCAATTTTGGAGTTGTTTTGGGCAAACGAGATATCAAATGGGCCACCAGACATTATGACAAGTATTACGGGCTTTTTAGAAGCACCAGCCGCTCTTGATACAAGCTCCTGTTGGCGGCCCGGTAGTAACAGCCCAATTCTATCCAATCCTTCACGTTCGATGACTTGGCTGAGGCCCATAAATAGGATTGTGACATCAGCCTTTCGAGCAGCCTCCTCAGCTCGATCAAATTCTTTGTTCATGGTGCAAGTGACGTCAGTGCATCCCATTTCATGAAAAATTATGGTCTTCTTATCAACATAATCTGATATTCCTTGTAAGGGATTAATGTAGTCACATGGAATTCCTGGATAAATTAAGAAATAACGATAATTGAAATTAAAAATGTGTGATTTCTGTTTTTGTCAAGTATGTAATCGAAATCCAATAATTCAAAGAGATAATTTTAAAATTTGACTTTTTTTTTTTTTTTTTNGTAAGAAGTGAATTTTTCATTCAAAATTTGGTCCGACTTTATGGTATAAATGATGTATACCAGCATAGTTGCCTATCATGGTTTCCGTGGCATTTGAATTAGGCCCAATAACGGTAACAGATCGAAGCCTGCCAGCGGATAGTGGTAAAAGTTGATTATCATTTTTCAGCAAAACAATGCCTTGTTGGGCTGCTTCAAGTGCCAACTTTTTATGATCCTTTGTGCACACATGTTTTGGGCCCAAATAACCATATCGCTGGTATGGGCCATCAAACATACCCAAACGCATTTGAATGGTAAGTAAATGGGCCAATGCCACGTTCACATGGCTCTCATTTAGTTTTCCCTCTCTTACTGCGGCTTCTGTGTGGTCCGCAAGGAAAGACCCACAATTCAAGTCCAAACCTACATTGACGAAAAATTAGTAAGGATGCTTAGTTAATGAGTTTATTGCACATCAATTTTTGAAGTCGTTATTTTTTCATATGGTGTTAATTTTTAAAAGAGTACTCTTAATACACAATCCATTATTTTTTTATATAGTTTATACGATCACCAACTAGATAAAATCATGGAATATAGTAAAAAATAATTTGAAGTCCACCCTTGTACCTCTTATTTTTTCTAACTACATATATTGCATGGATTAGTATTTCCTTAGTGTGTGGAAATCAATTTGTTTTAGATACTTTACTTAAAATACCATTCAGATCATCTCACTATATTTTATCGTTATTCTGAAATTATCATAATTTGATAATTTTTCTTTTTATGCCATCAACTGTTATTTTTATAAATGAGTATTGATAGAAATATTTATCTGTAGGTACATTAATAAAATTTAAATTATATTATATAAATTGTTGTGAAGTTGAAAATTATTTATGTCACTACAAAAAAAATGTCATATTCAAAAGAAAATCCTATGATAATATATTCCAATAGAAAATCCAATGAAAATTCCAATGGTATAGATTCCGTTGGAATAATTCTATCAAAAATTCCAACGGAATTATTCCGTTGTAATGAGTTTTTCCATTGGAATTAGATGGAATTTGATCATTCCAACGGCTATTATTCCAACGGGTTAATTTTTACCGTAGGAATTTCTGTTGGAATATACAATTTCTGTGGAATTTTTTTTTCACCCATATTTAAACCGTTGGAATCGTCAAAATTCAATGGAAAACTCGTTCCAACGGATATTTTTGTTGGAATTTTCGTTGGAATTATTTAAAAAATTCTAATGTAAATAATAGCATTAGAATATCCATTAGAATTGCCGCTGAAATACCATTGGAATATATTTCCATTAGAATTTTCCATTAGAATTTAATCATATTCTTGTAGTGTGTTAAACTCATATAAATGAGTTAAATATTAGAACAATATTATTTGTGAAATAATATTTTTACTTCATATAATATTTCCATAAAGTGTGTACTACTAAATGGCAATATATAATCTGAGTTTGCAGTTGTACCAAAATATTATTTTGAAAAGATATAATTAAACTAATTATTGTAAGATAATTTAAAATGTTATTAAAACCATTTTTTTGCCTAATATATCTAAAACCAGTGACAAACCTACCAAAATGTACCAGAATAAAATGTAGTGCGAACTATTCAAAACTAAACTTGATTTTGACTTTACTCTATTGAATATCGTAGATCAAGCTCTACACTAGAATTAAGACAAGTGTTGGAAACGATCTAGTTTTCTAACCTGATCTAATGGCAAGAGCTGCTGCATCTTCCGGTGTACGTGTATATTTTTGTTGTCTATAGAATACATCCACGGAATCACAATCGGAGACAATGTACCTATTTTAAGCCCCATAAAAGCATAAATTGAGAAGAAATAAAAATAAAGAAAGTAATACTGCATTAATTTAAAACCATAATTAAAAAATTCTCAAACAAACTCAATTACTCAATCATAAATGTTGTACATAACCTTAAAATTGCTATATAAATACCCTTTCAGAATTTCAATTTTCATTGTATGGTAACTAAATTAGTCTAAATTTACTATTCACCATTTCTCCAAATATCTTTTTTTTTTTTCAAGGATATAAAATAATTATTTAGGGGGTGATTGTTTATGAAATATTTCATTCAAAATGAGTTATTTTAGTTAACTAGAGTTAATTTTGAAAAAAGTAGTATGGTTAATTGTTAGTGGGATTTTAAGAATGTATTAAAATAATATTTAAAATAAAATAATTAAAATTAATTTGATGTAAAAGTAAGAGATAAATGATTGAAAATGATTAGAAATGATAGGTAGTTAAAATTATGTGAGTGGATGAATAGAGAATTAAAGTTGATGTGATGTGTAAGAATGATTGGTTTGTATTATTTAATTATATGAATAATATCAAAGATAATGGAGTTGTGTTAAAGTTGAGTTAGATTTTAAGTATGAATTGGATTGAAAATGAAATAATTTGTAAACAAGCATGCCCTTACCCACTCAGTTTCCATTTTTTTCGAATGGTGTACATAAGGAGATCAGGGTCAGCACAGGTGGGTTTGCCGTTGACCTGATTGTAGGAGCACATTATGCTTGCAACTTTGCCTTCAGACACACAAGCCTTGAAAGGAACATTGTATGTTTCCTCTAAATCCTGTTTGGTTACCTGCTTAGATCAAGCTCATGCCAATTAATTAATTATATTATATGCATAGATGACATGTACTTTGGTAATAAATGAAGAAAATGTGACCTAAATTGCATT